GCCTCTCTGATGAGGTGCTGTTGGAGCAGAGACGTGATGGAAATTAGGGACCAAGAGTCTGGATGCCTGGGGGTGGTAAGTGCAATAGTCTTCAGGCTGCAATGTGCTTTTCCAGAAAGATCCAGGAGTCAGTGTGACTGGAGTGCAGTGAGCAAGGAAGACAGAGGTAAGAGGTGTGGTCAAGTGAGAAGGCAGAGGGTGAGATATAGGGCTTCCTAGGCCGCCATGGGGTTTTTACTCTGAGATCGAAGGCCACTAAGAGGTTTGAACAGAAGAATTGCAAGCTCTGATAATCATTTCTTACTTAGCTGAGTTGAGGGTGGATGTTAGAGGGGCAGGAGAGGGAGAAGGGATAGAGGGTTATTGATGGCTTACACCACAGGTGCTGGCGTGTGTTTTAAATATAACCTAATAGTAGAACAGAGAAGATTGACTGAGGGATCAGGTGACAAGGATAGATAAGAGAAGTGGTTAAGATGACCCCAAGGCTTTTGACTTGAAGGAGTTGCCTCTGAGATGGGAAAGACTTTAGCAAGCATGATTTGGGGGGGGTTGGGCAGGGAGGAAAGAGCTGGGAGTGGGGAGAGGGTGCATAGGCAAATTGCACCCTCTTCTTTTGAGAAATATTACCAACTTTTTCAAAACTCCTCTAAGGGAGAGGAAAAGGAAGGCTTATTTTCCACAGGTTATATTTAGTATTGTCTATTTTAGGTAAAATTCCGAGTAAAACTTGTTTCATTAGGAAATACATGTCTATATTTTTCAGTATAGATAAAGTGTATTCATTTTTTCCAAATGCATCTCTTTAGTCAAAAAACCTTCGACTGTCACCACCTAATCCTTTTCCTGCTTCCTTTATTTTCAACCTTGTTTAATTCTCAGTAGCAGGTCTTTCTCCCCCACCTCTTCAATCCTCTTGACTCAAACAAGAGTAAAGCTGTCACATGGACACCGCTGAGTTGGAGCTGAACTTTTCTTTCTCTACCAGCTGTGGAAATACTAGCGACATAGGTGCCAAGGAGAACATCCCATGAAGCTCATGGCCCAGGGTCTTCTCCTGGGACCTACAGAGAAGAGACTTTCTATGGCACTCTAAGACCAGAGGAGACCTTTTGATATTTTATCCTTCAGATAGACTCGTTATATTGTTACTTCATTTATAAAAGTACTCAGTAGTCATCTTTATGAGGGGGGCCTTGGTGGCTCCGTCAGTTAAGCATCCGACCTCGGCTTAGGCCATGATCTCATGGTTCCTGGGCTCAGGTCCCACGTCGGGCTCTGTGCTGACAGCTAGGTCAGAGCCTGGAGTCTGTTTTGGATTCTGTGTCTCCCTCTTTCTCTGACCCTCCCCTACTCATGCTGTGTCTCTCTCTCTCAGAAATAAATAAAACATTAAAAAAATGAAAAAAAATAAAGTAGTCACCTTTATGAGAATCTTTTAAGGTAATCTGAGCCCTTCCACCTGCTTGGTAGAACTCTGTTATTTCTGGCTTGATCACCCATAAAGAGAAATAACACGAAATATAAGTTCAGAGAAAGGTATACGTCTCTTTTGTAAAATCTTTCATGTCAGAAAATTATTTAAAAATTATAATTTCATAAATATATTCCTAATTTTCATTCACTGCTGCTGAAGCATTTAAACTCCTTTCTCAAGGATCGTATTAATTCTATGATGGAATCACTTACAAATTCTCCATATTACTACCTTTTTTTTTTTTTTTTTAAAGAACTGAGAACTCCACCGTTACTCAGATGAGGAGTGAATCAGGTATTCTGCAATTATTAGTATGGTATGACATACTACTTAATTGTCACACCTGTTTTCTTTAACTGCACTTTAATATTAGATTTACAGTGTTCTACCATGACTCTCAGATCATCTTCAGTTTCAGTCATAGAGAGACAGTTCTTCAACTTCAATATGGCTATTTTTACCTAATGACACTGTCTTGAAATTATCCCCTGTGGACTCTGTTCTATATATTTCTGCCACTTTCCCCAATTTATGATTATTTTGAGTGATTATTTTGAATGTTAGTTCTATCTTTACTACCTCTTTTTTCTATGCCACTTGTAATGAATAGAATCATGGATTACTTGTCTTATTACCTCTGATTCACTGGCAACTGGGGAAACAGGTAACTGCAGGTTTAATGACTAAAATTGATTTAAAACAATTGTTATTTAATGTAAGCAAGCTTTCCTTCCATTCCATTTTGTTAGATCCAGTGGTGTGGCAGACACCCAGCTCATGAATATTTAACAATATTCAGAAATTTTGTGAACTGATTGTTAAACGCAACCATTATTAAAAATTAAATTATAAAAATTTAGAATGAAATAAGTTATGTTAAAAACAAAAGTAAGAAATACTCAAAATATATCAGCTATGTACTTCATTTTATTATCATCCCATCTCTTGAGGTTATGTACACCTATTGCATCTATATAAGTGGAAATAGTATGTACTAGTGTGCTTCTCCATATCATACTTCCATTCTGTATGCTTGACTCCCAATTCTTCATTCAGTGATTTCAGGTTAATAGCTGAAAATTGGCATGGTATATGCATTTACACCATGGATATTGACAAATGCTAAAAACCATGCCTTACTTTTTAGAAAGCCAGTTTTAGATCCTTCCAAAGACTGTATCCTGTGTGGGCTAATGATTCTCAAACTGTTTTCATCCTTTACTCCTCTTTTTGCCCAGCTCTGGTCTCTGTGGTCACCCAGACTGTTATCTAAACTCGGTGTAAATTCTCATATATTTCGGGATACAGCATTGAAGGATTTTGACAAAGTCTCTGCAATCATGGAGCTTATATTAAAGTTGGAGGGATAGAAACCATAGACAAACAAGAAAACTATTTGATGTGATAAGTACTATGCAGAGAATTAAAATAGAGAGACATGAGTAAGTAGATAGGAAAGATGTCTGAGGTTCAATTAAAGCTGCAATCTGATCGACAAGATGAAGTGACTGTGTTAAAAAGTAGAAGAAAGAGCCCTCCAAGCAGAGAGAACAAGTAAGCGCAGTTTGAAACAAACATGCCATGCTTATGAAACAACTAGTATACCTAAGGCAGAGTGGGTAAGGGAGGGGCGCTCAAGAGGAAGAAAGGGTTACCTCACATTAGGCTGTATACAATTTGGGAGAAGTTGAATTTTATTCTAAACACCATGCAAAACTAGGATTAAGAAGAGGTTTCTATTGTTGCCATAACAATGACAACACACTTGGTTTAAACAAGAGACAATTATTATCTTACGGTTCTATAGGTCAGAAGTCCAGCATGGATCTGAAGGGGTTAAAATCAAAACGTTCATAGGGTTGCATTCTTTTCTAGGGGAGGGCCCTCAGTTACTCATTAGGGTTGTAGAATTCATTTCCTCTTGATTGCAGCAACGAGATGTCTATTTCTGGCTGGCTATGTCTAAGGGTCATTTCCAGCTTCTAGAGGTCACTACATTCTTTAGCTCTTGGCCCTATCCTCTATCTGTAAAGCCAACAATGCTGGGTTGAGCCTCCTTTACCTTTGAATTTGTTCTCTTTCTTCCACCTCATTCTTTTCTCCCAGCTGGAAATGTTTCTACATTTTTAAGGACCCATTGATTAGATTGAGCCCATCCAGATGACTTGGGATGATCTCTCCATCTCAAGTTCCATACTTTTTTTTTCTTAATGTTTATTTATTTTTGAGAAAGAGAGAGAGAGAGAAAGAGAAAAATAGTAAGCACGTGAGCAGAGGAGGGGCAGAGGAAGAGAGAGAGAGAGGATCCGAAATGGGCACTCTGCTGTCATGAGGGGCTTGAATTCACGAACCGTGAGATCAAGACCTAAGTCAAAGTTGGACACTTAACCAACTGAGCCACCAGGCACCCCTTAAGGTTCATACTTTTATCTATAGTCATATCTGTAATGTTCCTTTTGTCGTGTATGGTAATAGTCACACTATCCAGGACATTAGGGTATAGACATTCTTGGAAGACCTTATTCTTCCTACCATCTATGGCATCATCTCAAGGAAGATAACAAGAAATAGATTCAAATGGAAGCTGCCAAGATTCTTCAACATGCCTTCTGATCTACTACCACCACTTCCTTTGGTCTGCTGGGGGCCTGGCATAGCCAGCTCACTCAATGAAACTGTGGATCATGAAAGAAAGCAACTATCTTCTGTGTTTTTAAAATGACAGTGTCCCAGTTTAGAACACAGCAGTCTCGAGATGAATCATTTTAGTTACTCATCATGAGTGCTCTGCCAAATAAGTGTATTTGTAAAAAAGCTATCATAATTCACCCATAACATTTAATATAAAGTATACTCAGTTGAGCCTGTTTAGTTGTTTTGAGTTAGCAGTTGGTGTTTAAACTTGTCCCACAAGTATGATTCTTATTATATTTATTTATAATTTCTTGAGGGCTAACCAATGATATACTGGGCCTCGTGCTAAGCACCTGTATATACATTGTATCTTTTCATCTTCACAACAACCTTATAAGGTATGGTCTATAATTATCCTTATTTTACAAATGATGAAGCTGAAGCATAGCCAGGTTAATTGATTTGCCCAAGGTCACCCAGATAGGAAACTAAGACTAAAAAAGCTTGAGAGATTCTCAGGGTCACACAGCTGGTCATTAATAGAACTGTCTAATAAGGGAAGATTGGGCCCCAGAGACCATTTTTGGACCACTCGCTCTACCATCCACCCCCATTAGTTTCTGAACTTTTGAAGAAGTCCAAGGCTAGGTTAAAGTTAAGGTTCAACTGGTCAGTTATTCAGTGACATGAAATGGTATGTGAAACCTACTTACAAATATACAGAAACAGTTGGAATAATCTTGCTTGATGAGGTAAAATTGATAAGCTATTTCCTACCTCTTTCTGGGTCTTGTTTTATCATGTTTCCTTAGAAATTGCATATCACAGTGAATTAATTCACATATGATCTTGTGTCCCTTGATATTCTAACCTTCTTATAATTTTGCAGCAATCTTGCACAGAGCTTGACAGTTACATGAAGAATAAATTGAATCCTTACTTAATCAATGTCACCCTAGCAGCCAAAATGTGTAACCAAGTGCTTTGCCATGAGCAAGGAGTGTGTGCAAGGAAAAATTGGAATTCAAACGACTATCTTCACCTGAACCCAGACAGTTTTACTATTGAACTTGAGAAAAGTGGAAACTACACAGTACATGGGCAACCCACACTTGAAGACCTGCAGGAATTTTCTGAAAAATTTTATTGCCTTTGTTATGCCAATGTCAACTGTAAGGAGAGAGTTGATATGACTAAGATTCATACTGTTAAAGTATGTGTGGCTGAATATATTTGTATAGATGTCTTTCTAAATGCAAGTCCCAGTGATTATCGTTCAAGTTGGAGAAAGAAACATGGCACTCTTGGCAATATCTTATCCTCCATCCAACCTGCTACAGCGTCTCCTTGTGTTCCTGGCCAAGATCTCAGTAGGTGTCGCAAAGCCAGATTTATACTAGAAGCCAACTCCAAAACCACCCAAGTGGGCTATTAGATTGTATATATTCAAAACAAACAAACAAAAAATAAAACAACCTCTTCAAGTACAAGTTCAGTGCTTACTAAATTTTCTGTCTACATACATTGTTTTGATATATTTCACATATATATATTTAAAAATTTTTAAATATTTATTCATTTTTGAGAAAGAGTCAGTGAAGGGCAGAGAGAAAAACGTAGGCCTTGAAGCAGACTCCAGGCTCTGAGCCATCAGTACAGAGCTCGATGAGGGACTTGAACCCATAAACCGTGAGATCATGACCTGAGCTGAAGTTGGATGCTTAACCGACTGATCCACGTAGATGCCCCTCACATTTTTATATTTAATAATTTAGCTAGATTATATTATTTTTTGGAGCCAAGTGATAATGTCTATATACTTGAATATCTATATTTGAAATGTGACTCAAAACTCATGATCAAGATAGTATTTTGATTTTATGATCACAGATTGTTCTTTTTCATGATCAAATTGAACTTGAGATTATTATTAATTGACAAGCAAAGGATATGTTGGCTAGCATCTTTAATTTTCAAAATTGTAGTCAGGACAGTGTTACTACTAAATCCATTGATACCACATTTTGATTTTGAAAATCAAAATAGAATATTGGTTATTAATGTTACAGAGAATTTGTTTTGTAAGATGACATCCAACTTTATATTTTCTAATCACCATGAGTCTATAGCAAATATCTTACATACTGTGAATGTATATATAGAAGGAACAGGTATCTGTTATATTCTTGGCTCAGTCTATCAACAAGTGAATGTGAGGTCTGTAACACTTAGAGGCCTAGTTTTTCTCTGAGAAAAGTGAAGATTTAAATAATTCCAATTCACTGCAAATAAATGTCTTTATAAGTAGTTTCTAATTTGTAATAAAAATGTCAAGAAATCATTATTGTAATAAACTTTTTAAAAGAAGTTTTTATTTATTTATTTTGAGAGATAGAACACGGGGCGGGGGGCAGAGAGAGAGGGAGAGAGACAATTTCAAGGGGGGGCAGAGAGAGAGGGAGAGACACAATTCCAAGCAGGCTTCACACTGTCAGCACAGAGCCCAATGTGGGGCTCAAACTCATGAACTGGGAGATCATGACCTGAGCCTAAATCAAGAGTCCGATGCTTAACCAACTAAGCACCCAGGTGCCACAGTAATAAAATTTATCTTTTAAAATGTAATATCCTAAGTGTATTTGTCTGTCTCTAGCACAGAGTTATGGATTTTAGCCATTTCATGTTGATAATTTGAGTTATATTTTATAAAAAGGTAACCTTTAAACTGTGATTATCCTGTCAACTTTGTACATGGTTTAATAGGTATTCAGAATAAGTACAAACAATAGCCTAATTTTCTTCCACTCTTGATGGTCTTTGACAGTCTTGTGTACTTGAATGGCCTTACTTCATCTGAGCATGCATTCCCATCCTTCGTGAAGTGTTTACTGAGTGTTTACCCTCTGCCAGGCTTGGTATTAAGAGTCACAGATTCAATGTGAAGTAGCATGATTCTTGCATCAGTGAGTTTCTTGTATATTTGAAGAAAACAGATATTGACAGTGGAAAATGATAAAACAGTCTGTGATAAATGCTGTTCTAGAAGTTCAGCATGCTCTGGGATACCAACAAGAATTTGGAGGTGCCAGAGAAAAAAGTTCAAGGATGTCATGAAAGAAACGAGTCCACTAAACAAATAAAAGGCAATGGGGAACCACTAAAGAATTTTGTAAAATATCTTTTTTAAAATGTTTATTTTTTTAATTTTTAAAAATTTACTTATTTGTTTTGAGACAGAGAGAGAGAGAGTGAGAGCATGCATGAGCAAGGGAGGGGAAGAGAGAGAGAGAGAATCCTAACAGGCTATGGTCTGTCAGAACAGAAACTGATGTGGGGCTCGAACTCACTAACTGTGAGATAGTGACCTAAGCCAAAATCAAGTCAGACAGTTACCAGACTGAGCCACCCAGGCATCCACCACTAAAGAATTTTAAGTGTGGAAGTTGGCATGGCCACTTTTCACAATTTAGGTCCTCTTGGACCGATGTTGCCCTTTTCCTTAGCCCTGTCCTGTATTCTCTGCTCCAATTACAATTTTATTTTCAAAGCCATGTTTTCATAAGTAAGCCATGAGAAGAGACAATTTGATAATGATCTGGAAAGGATACTACATATGGACTAGTTTACTTAGAATACATAAATGGCTGTCAGATGACCAGGACTTAGAAAGAATGGAGGCTGCAAGGCAAATTGGAAAAAGCATGGATTCTGGAGCTGGACAGTTATAAGGGCAAATCCCAGCCTCCAACATTTATTCACTATATAAGCCTGAAAGAACTAACCTTCTATTCTATATAATAGCATTGATATATACTTTTTAGGATTCTTGAAAGGATCGACGAATATAATACATGGAAAGCATTTGGCCTTAGAACTAACTCCGTAAGTGTCTGTAGGAGGAAGGAGATGGAAATGTTTTATTGGGTAGGAAGATACCTGTATTGCTGTTGTCAAGCGGAATGTCAAAACTGTAGACTTCTGCCATAGAAGATTTGGCCATGAACCCAGTAAGAAAAGAGACCACTAAACAGAGAGAGTTAGCAGGAATAATTTATGTGATACACAACTTTCTATACGATCACATTTACAGAAGGAAAATTAGATTTCCTCTTAGACCCAGGATTTTCTCTAGGGATCATATTTGTATCTGAGACAAAAGGAGAATAATATGGTATTCCTGCTCTTCAGGAACTTGCACACTGATAGAGATAACAGATATGTCAACCAAAATTGTCCATAAAAGGTGGCATACATAAAAATTTTAAAGATGAAGAGCTATAGAAACATAGTTTCATCCTGTTAATTAGCACAAGGTGCTAAAGGAATTGAGCAACTTAGTTGAAAGTTATGGAATTCACTTGTTAGATACAGATTGTATCCCTAAACTCTCAAGTGTCATACAAAACCACTCCACTGGTACAGCAGAGGACTTAGTTCCAAAGTTATTAAAGAACACATCTGCTTTTATTTTAGAAAGTGAATTTGAAAGGAGTGTAGATATAAAGTAGATCATTGGGTTTATTATATAGATACATTCAATATTGTTGGAAGAAACCAGATGTTTACTAAGAGATCATGGGTAATTATTTAAGGTACTTTCCGAGTAGTGATGAAGACATGAAATGGTGCTTTTTTTTTTTTTTTTTTTTATCTGGGTGGCTCATTCAGTTGAGCACCTGACTCTTGATTTCAGCTCAGGTTATGATCTCACAGTCATTGGATCCAGTCCTGTGTTGGCCTCNGTACTTTCCGAGTAGTGATGAAGACATGAAATGGTGTTTTTTTTTTTTTTTTTTTTTTAAAGCTCTTGGGGCACCTGGGTGGCTCATTCAGTTGAGCACCTGACTCTTGATTTCAGCTCAGGTTATGATCTCACAGTCATTGGATCCAGTCCTGTGTTGGCCTCTGTACTGGATGTGAAGCCTGCTTGAGATTCTGTCTTTCCTTCTCCCTCTTCCCCTCCCCTGCTTGCATATTCTCTCTCTCTCTCTCTCTCTCACAAAAATAAAATAAAATTAAAAAAAAACTTTTGGCAGTGAAAGATAAATATATTCATTCAGGAAAATGCATTGTTGGATTCAATATAGCAAACATTTGCTGACATAAAAGTGGCTGACAGGAAAAATGATAAGCCATAGGCGTGATTAGGGCAAAATGAAGAGTAGAAGTCCACAACATGAGAAATATTTCCAAAATGCTGATCTCTATTTGTTAATGAGGCAGTCATGAAAGAAATTAATTTCCCCAGTTTTTCTATAAATTGGCTGCTGGCAAAGTAATAGTGATTTTTAGATGGTATCTGACTTACCAAGGAAGAGGACAGTTAGGTGCATATTATTTTGTGTAGCTGTCTGAGGACTAGGAGACATCTCCTTGCCATGTAACTTCGCATTGCAATAGAGTAGTGACTTCTGGCCTGTATCCTTTCCACCCCAGTCCCAGAAAAGCTCAGTGAAGGCATGACAATGTGCTTTAGATACTATGACATAGCATAATTCTTGGCACAGAGTAGGTGCTCAATAAAAACCTGAAAAAATGCAGGGGTGCTTGGGTGGCTCAGTCAGTTGAGCACTCAACCTTGGCTCAGGTCATGATTTAGACTTCAGCTCAAGTCATGATCTCACAGCTTGTGAGCTCGAGTCAGTGTTGGGCTCTGTGCTGACAGCTCAGAGCCTGGAGGCTGTTTCGGAATCTGTCACCCTCTCTCCTCTCTCCCACTTATGCTTGCTCTCTCTCAAAAGCAAACAAAACCAACTAAACCAAACAAAACAAAGGCTTTCCTCTTTGTTCATATCTTTTTAAAAAAATGTTTATTTTGAAAGAGAGAGAGCACACCCGTTCACGCAGGGGGAGGGGCAGAGAGAGAGGGAGAGAGAGAATCCTAAGAAGGCTCTGTGACCACACAGACTGTGAGATCACAAACCACGAGATCATGACCTGAGCCAAAATCAATAGTCAGATAACTGACTGAGCCACTCAAGTGTCCCATCTCTTTGTTCATATCTTGTTTCTCACTGTGAGTTCTTCTGAAGTAAATTCATACTGTGCATATTAACTGAAATGAGCAATCTGTCCATTAAAGTGTGTTTTTTAGACCAAACTTGAAAGGAGCATCTCTCACTGAAAGGTCATTTTTGGAAAGGCCTTTTTGAATTATGGTACCTAGCGAATGGAAGCTTCCTCTGAACTTGACAAACACCTCAATCTCAACGCTGGATGTAGGGTTCATATTCCAGGACTCAGTGGCTCTTCTCTCTCCCCAAAAGAATACTAGGGCTCACATATGTTTCACCTGCAAAACTGCTGGACTGTTTCAACACAATCATTCTGTACAAGATAGATTTTGATGACGCTGAAGTCTGACATGGAAGCAGTTAGGAATTTGAATGTGAAAATCCACATAAAACCATCAATAAAATTGAAACCTGGATCCTTTTTTTTCCTCCTCTGCTTGCAATCAAAGAGAGAGAGAAGAGATTAGGTGGGGAGAGGAGGTGGGAGAGAAGAAAAAACTCATCTGCCCAGATGTCTCAAATGTCATTGCCTCCTCTTTTTGCCTCAGCCTTCCTCTAAGAGGCAAAAAGGATGAAGCCACAAAATGGCGGCATTGCTTGGGATGTGCCAAATCCAGTCTGTTGCATACCTCACAGCTTATATACAAAGTCATTAAGATCTTAAGGTAAACTCCTTGAGGCTTTAAACTTCCTGTGAGGCAAAAGGAAAGTGTGTTGTTATAGAACTTACTTCCTTGTGACTAAACTTTGTTTAATATTTGATTCAAGATGGAGCTATAAAAGCACTCAAAACGATTCAAATTATTGCACATTTTAAGTTCCAATAATTAAAAAAAATTTTTTTAAGTCACAGTTTATCTTTGTATAATTAGATTAGGAGGGGAAAAAATGAAGAATCCGCTGGTGGCAGGAAGAAGCAAGGGTTTTTTAGGGCCTGGCATTTGACAAGATAGATCTTTAGTTACCATGGATTTCTGTTGTTTTTTCATGGCAGAACATTTAGGAGAGACTCGGAGCACACATGGGTGAAACCAAGTTACTCTTATGTTTCATAACTATGTTGCTTGCGTGGTTATTATTGCCACATAGTTGGCTGTGCCCCAGACAGATGGGGATGCTGGTCTCTTCCCCCAGATCTGTATCCCAATCTACATCCCAAGGAGGACAATGCCATTTGCTCTCAGCCAGAGAGCAAGGTTCCTGGTTTGTTTGACAACATCCTGCTCAGTACAACTTTTATTGTCATAGCTTGAGGTATGATGATTGATTTCCTTCAGAGAGACCTGGTGGTGAGCATAGAAAGGGCAAGCAGCCATTTTGCTTTTGGCATCAGGATGATTCTTTCTGCACTTGATCAGATGGTAAGGAAACCTATAGGCCCTGGTCTGGTGGTTTTTATCAAAGAGGGATTGTCATAGCTTTTCAGGGTCCAGGGAATGGATGTACATTTCTTCCAAGCTGGAAATGAAAGAGCTGAATCCAAGGGTTGGATGGAGACACACTGTCTGCAAAGTCCCTTTCTTTCCACATCTGGGCCCCAACAACACTCACTTCCATACCAGATGTTAGTGTGGTGGGGACAGAACACCCCACTGCCTCTGGCTCTAATAATTCTTTTTTAAAGTTTATTTATTTTGATAAAGGAGGGGGATAGACAGAGAGAGGGAGATAGAATTCCTAGCAGGCTCCACACTATCAGCACAGAGTACAATGCAGGGCTTGAACCCACAAACCGGGAGATCATGACCTGAGCTGAAACCAAGAGCTAGTGGCTTAACCAACTGAGCCCCCCAGGGGCTCCTAATAGTTTTGTTAAATAGAAACACTTGTACAGTCTTTTATATTATGTTGTTCTAAAATCTTTTTTGTTCTTACAAAGTCATTGCTGCTTATGGTGAAATAATACAAAATTACACAGTGGAAAACTAGAAGTCCTCTTCCCTCCTTGCTCTACCAGTGATAACTCCTGGTTATAGTTTCTTATATGTAATTCCAGAAATATCCTAGAAATGTAAAAACAAATGTGTGTGTATATTGTTAAAAGATCAACTAAGGCATTTTAAAAATTGTAAGAGTTTGGGGGCACCTGGGTGGCTCAGCAGGTTAAGTGTCTGACTCTTGGTTTCAGCTCAGGTCATGATCTCACAGCTTTGTGGGTTCAAGCCCTGCATTGGGCTCTATGCTGGCAGGGTGGAGCCTGCTTAGGATTCTCTCTTTCCCTTTCTCTCTCTGCTTCTCCCCTGTGCGTGGGTGCTCTCTCTCTCTCTCTCAAAATAATAAATAACTTAAAAAAATGTTAAGAGTTTATTTGAGCAAAACCTGAATCAAATCAGGCAGCACTAAACCAGAAGTGGTTAGGAGTACTCCACAGACAGGGACCAGGGGAAAGTCTTATACAGAGAAAGAAGGGAAGCAAGAAAGGAAATTATTGATTGGTTAAAGCTTTACACCTATTGGCTGTTTATGATTGGTTGTCCTTAGTGTTTTAATTTTGTAACTGTGAGGCATTTGTAGGTGTAGATTTTGGTTTGCCTCTATAGGCGGCCACAGCAATAGAGCCACATCAGTCTAAGGTCATTTTTGTTAATTAATTTAACAATATACTTAATATAAATAGGCCTATGGTATCCTTAATGGTCTATAACTTGCCTTTCCCACATGACAATGTACTTGGAGTATCTGTAGCAACCACACTTTACTCCACTGTGCTCTATCTGGCAATTCTTTTCAAGTTCTTTTTGTTGGACATTTCATTGTCTCAAGATTCTTCTCCTCCATTAAAAATTTAGTTAACGTGTGTGTGTGTGTGTGTGTGTGTGTGTGTGTGAGCACACTTTTGCCTGGATGAAGTGGAATTGCTAATGCAAAGGGTATACATTTCAATGTAGGTAGACATTGCAGAATTATCTTCTAAAACGTCTGTTTCAATGAAGGAGGTCAGCAATAGTGAATGAGGGAGAGATAGTTTTCTTTCCCAACACTGGGCATTATCAAATTCTGTAGTTAGTAATCGTTCATAAACTTGGTTCTTAAATAGTAAAGTTCATGTTTTTTTCATAGTTTGTTAAGGGCATTCTTTTTTCTTGCCAAGACGTTTTTCTTTTTTTAAAGAATAAAGCTTATTTAGTTTCTCATTTATGCTCAAACTTTATTTTTAGGAGATTGTTGCCATTTCTGAAAATGAACACAGACCTTTTCAAACATCAACCGATTATAATATGAAACGGGAAAGCAAAGACCAAGTTTAAAAAGAACACTTTATTTCTTCTGCCTATTATTTCTCAAGTGGTATTTGGCTTTAATGATCATTAGTATATTTTAAAAGTATCTTAGTCACGAAGGACTACAAATTCCTCATTCATCAAATACCCCATTTTTTTCGTGAACTGTACAGCCATATAAAGTTTTCGCAAATAACTCTTTTGTAAGAAGTATCTTTTAAATAAAATAAGACAGTAGTTTTTCGGGGGAAGCCTAACCCTTAGTAAGAGGATATAAAAATAATATAATCCCAGTTTATACATTAGCCAATTGTTGACTTTGGGCTAATCTCTTACCTTCTCTGACTTTGTTTCCCCAAATGTGAAAAGCTAATTTTTGAGAAGACTAGAAAAAAGAAACAAAAGTCAGCTAGTGCAGTGCTTGTCATAAGAATGGTAAGTACTTGGAAACTGATCATTATTTATTTGAAGGCTTCATATACGTTCCAGAGATTTCCCTCTATTAGATGATTTGAGTTTATATTTGGAATCTAAAACTGGCTTTAAAAATTTCATTTTGAGGAATATTATATTCAAATAATATGTATTTATAATTGTTCTTTACTTAAAAAGGATAAGTAGGTTCGATTTCATTGAAAACAAATTGCCTAATTCTATCACAGTGCGTCAGTGCGCGACTATTGTCAGAAAAAAATCAGTACATCTAGGAGTTTCTGTCTTTTGCCTGATGTGCTGTTTTTCTGATTAGACCCCATAAAATTTTTAACACGTTGTGTTAATACATCTTTTTTTCACTTTCTTGGTTTCCAATTATTTCACTCCAGCACATTTTTAATAACAAACTTGAGAGTAGAAGGTGGCATATATGATTTTTACTGAAATGTATTTCTACCCCGACACCAACTTGCTAATCCTAAATCATAGACATAAGGACAAGGATGGGCTTGGGTTAATATATAATTATGTAATTTTGGGGGACTATGTCATTACGGATTATTTTATTTTTCTCTTACAGGTAGTAATTGAAGATCAGAGGTAAAAGAGATTTCTGGGTTAATCATTTTATAAAAGTAGAAAAATTATTAAGATTATAATATGTAGTATATACACAGTTTTGAAAGCTGAGCAGCCAAAAGTATACTTTTTGCATCATATACAAAACTTAAATCCTTGAACGGTGAGAGAAAATTTCAGTGACTAAAAACTTTAGAAATGTCTTACTCCCATATGATGTTAAGAACTAGCTTTCCTGAAATTGTCAATTGCTGCCCTATTACTCTTCATAAATAAGAATAGCTTCCATTGTTATTCAATATTTCATTATAATGTTTTACATACAACTTCACATTTAATTTTTTTTTTTCACATGAGGAAATGAAGCCTTAGGTTAAGTAACTCCCCAGCATCACATAGGTATAGCTGCAGAGAAGACCCTGGTGACCTTGACTTCCAAGACTGTGCATTCTGCCATTACACAATACTGGCCTCCCGTAAGGTTAGGAGATGAAATAACCTGTCACGTAGAACTTAGGACTGCTTCCGATTTCTTCTTTTTCCTTCACAGCAGCATCTACCAACTACCGAGAATTTTTCTGAGTGCCAGACCCAGAGTGCAGGTGATCAAGTGGCACTCAGCTTAATCTGTACTTTCAATACATAGCTTTTATGGCTTAAAAGAGAAACTGGCATTCAAAGAAAGAGGAAGCCGGGGCACCTGGGTGGCTCAGTCGGTTAAGCGTCCGACTTCGGCTCAGGTCATGATCTCACGGATGGTGGGTTCGAGCCCCGCATCGGGCTCTATTCTGACAGCTAGCTCACAGACTGGAGGCTGCTTCGGATTCTGTGTCTCCCTCTCTCTCTGACCCTCCTCTGCTCACTCTGTCTCTCTCTCTCAGAAATAAGCATTAAAAAAACAAACAAACAAACAAACAAAAACAAAGAAAGAGGAAGCCTGAATCGGCTAGAAGAAACTAGAAGTTTGCATCATCCTGACATTTGTGACACACAATGATAAACTTTATCTTGACAACACCAGGGGCAGGAGCATAACAGTGTCAGCCCCAAGGCTTTTTCAACAATTCCATCCCTATGTCCTTGAAGCTGTTTGGTTTCAGGGAACAGAAGGGATAACTGGTCACAGGTTAGCCCCTTATGTCACTAGAAGAAAATCATTCCTCTTATCTTTCACATAAAACATGAGGTATAAAGATGCTAAAAACAGAATATAAATAATTGCTGGTGTGTGGTTGTTTTAGAAGTTTTAAGTCTTTGAGAGATGATTTTTAAAAAATTTGCTCACTTATAAGACTGGTTTTGAAGTGATTTTATTTTTCTTCAAGTAACAAATTTAATTTGGTGGGTGTTTTGGCAGCGAGAGAAATGGTGGGTGGGAAAGTTAGCGATCTTATCTTCCTGTGATTGCTTTATGTATTCTGAGTGGATAAACTGAATCATTTTTTAAAAATGTAGACTCTAATATACTAGTTGTGAAAACCACAGTGTATGAGAAAGAGAGACCGAAAGAGAGACAGACAGATGGAAGGAGAGCGGGATGAAGAGAGCAACTGGGGAATGCTCAAGTTCAGGGAGGTATGGGACTTGGTAGGAGGGGGAGTTGAGGCTGGAGAGGTAGACAGCAGTCATATATGAGGGTCTTCTGGAATATACTAATGAACTCCAAATTAATCCTTTAGGCAGGATTGAAATGGTCAGATTTGTATTTTAAATCTGTGGAGAATGCCTGGGTGCCTCAGTCGGTTGAGCGCCCAACTGAGCATCCAACTGTTGGATATCAGGCCATGATCTCAAAGTTCGTGACTGGGTCCCCACTTGGGGCCCGTGCTGACAGTGCTCGGAGCCTGCTTGGGATTCTCTCTTGATTCCTCTCTCTCAAAATGCATAAATAAACTTTTAGAAAAATCTGTGGAGGAGGTGAGGTAAGGAGATACAGGGTCTTTGAGCCTAGAGGCAGAAAAACCAGTTAAAAGGCTGTTGCTGTTAACTAGAGCAGAGAAGATGAAGGCTTAAACTTCAAGGGAAGTTTTAGGGATGGAGAGGAAAGGATAGAAATAGAAATCAATAGATTGCTTGGGTGTGGGAGGGTTAGGGAAGACAAGGAGTCTGATGTGACATCAGGTTTCTGGCTGGGCGATGCCACCCACTCCCGAGAAAGGAATAGGGATGATGAGCAGTGTGGGGACTCATTTGAGCATGTTGCATCTGAGGTGATTATAAGTTATCTAGGTAGTTTGTTGTCATTGTTATTTTTATTAAATGTTTTAATGTTTGTTTATTTTTGAGAGAGAGAGAGAGCAAGAGAGAGAGCAAGTGAGCAGGGGAAGGGCAGAGAGAGAAGAAGACACAGAACCCAATGCAGGCTCCAGGCTCCAAGCTGTCAGCACAGACTTCCATGCAGGGGTCAAACTCATGAACCGTGAGATCCTGACCTGAGCCAAAGTCAGATGCTTAAGCTGACTGAGTCTCCCAGGCACCCCTTTATTTTTGTTTTTAAGCCATATGATTTGGAAGCTCAAGGGAGAAAGTAGGGCTATGTCATTAATAATGAATAGTAATAGTCGGAGAGATATAGTATGCCTAATATTTTGAGAAGATAGTGTCTGGAGCCAGACTACCTGAGTAATGAAGATTCATCATTATTGACTCTGTGAGTTTGAGCAAGTCACATAGCTTCTCTGGGCCGCAGTTTCCTAATCTGTTGTGAGAATTAAATGAGTCGATATGTGTAAAGCTTTTAGATCAACGTTGGCACATAGTAAGTACCATACACCAGTTTGTTGTATTGTTGTTATTTTTAATTCAGCTCTCATGTATTGCACACTTGCTCTGGGCCACTTATGCTAAGAGCTTACAGGCAATTTGTCACTCACTCTCCATAACACCCTGTGATGGTGATACTGTTATGATCTAAAGAAACTCAGACCTCAGGAAGACTGATCAGATTGCCCAAAGCAACCCTCAGGAAATAAAAAGCACAGCCAGGATGCAAACTCAAACCTGAAGGACACCAGGAGTCTAAGGCCATTAAGGTGATACCTGAAACCAAGAGAGGGTGTAAAGGGAGAGGAGCCAGGAAACACCCATGTTCCTCCAGAGGTGGGAATAAGGACAGTGAAAAGCAACTGAAGACTTGCTGTGCAAGAAGCAGATGTGGGTTAGCCAAGTCAATTATAGCCGGAGCCCAATAAAGTAAGGACTTACTTTTCAGGCTGCTTTTATAATTCCTCGTCTTCCTCTACCCCTCCATTGGGATTTTACATTTTACACTTCTGTGCACGAAAAAAAATTTCACAAATCTTGACTCGAATTCCATCACGTTATCTAACAGACTTAATGTATGATGGAGGTACTCAAAATTTTGAAGCTCTGAGCTGCTGGTCTATGTTAGATCTAAAGAGCTTTCTCCTTCCTTAGGCAGTGGTCAGAGGGATTAATAATCATATCTGCTTCTGTGTCTCCTCTTAGTATTATTTCCAGAGTCCCCCTGGCCTATTTTCATTGGCTTTGTCTGGAGTTCCTGGGATTTATTCTGTTTATATGTTCTGGTGTGCTAGGACTGCCATAACAAAGTACTACAGACTGGGTGGTTTAAACAACAAAAACTTATTTTATCACAGTTCTGAGGATAGATGTCCCAGGTCAGGAAGTCAGCAGGATTCGTTTCTTCTAAGGGGCATAAGAGATGGGTCTATTCCAGGTCTCTCGCCTTGGCTTGTAGATGGCCATCTTCTCCCTGTGTCTTCCATCCATCCCTGTATGTGCCCAAACATCCTCTTTGTGAGGATATTAGTCATATTGGACTAGAAGCCACCCTAGTGACCTCATTTTAACTCAATTACCTCTGCAAGGATCTTGTCCACAAATAAAGTCACATTCTCAGGTGCCGGGGTGGGGGAACTTCAATATATGAATTTTGAAGGGACATAATATGGCCCATAAAATATCAATACCCTAATGATGCTTACTTTAAGTGTTAAAGACTTTGACTTTGAATCCAGTATGGAAGTGCAGTACAAGTAAAGAAACATGCTTCCTCACCATGGAGTATCAATGAAAGGAAACAAATTTTCATTTTACATCCTCCAGTCAGATTTTCCTTTTCTAGACCATAAGATATTTAATAACGAAGATTTATTCCTTCTCTTGATAAGGAATAGAGATTTGCACTTAGTTTTAAAATTAAAATTCATGAGTGTACCTGCTCATTCAGCCAACTCTGTCTCTTGTCAACATCCTTTAGGGAATGGGAAAACCATAACAACCATGACCAACATACTGGGTATTAATTGCAATTGCTCTCCCAGGTGCTGTGGAAAGGGGAGCAGGTTATAAAGATTCTCTGACCTCAAGATATTTTTAACTTCATGTTATTATTCTTAACTCTTTTTGTATCATAGAGGCTTTGGGAATCTGGTGAAAGCTAGCTTTTCTTCTCAGAGATATTTGTATACAATGATAAAATTATGTATATAGCTGCTTTTGTTGCATTAGATTAAAATACTTTTATAAAGAATTGTGCCTTTTCCATCCTTCTTTACAAACAAAATTAATTTCAGACAACTTTCTAAAAAAATAGGAAGAAAGAAAGAAAGAAATCCAACGTGTGCAAATGAAATGAAACCATACTTTGTCTTTACTAAAAAATAAATTTCAATGAGAAGGCATCTCTCCCTTGGCTTGAATGAGAAGCTGAAATTACTGAGTAGCGTCTGGCATGGTGTCTATGTACCTTTCTGTGGACTTTCTGCTATTTTAGACACAGGCTAAAAATCTGGGCTCACAACGGCATGTTGTAGCAAACAGAATCAGTCCATGTTCACAAAAGACACAGGGGGCTTATGATAAGAGAATGCCAAGATATTCCAAGATTATCTGACATGGATAGTGGATTTATGTTGTTTAATTTCCATCGGCTCTGCATCATTGGGTTTCATCTTCGGCAAGGGGATGCTGTTGATGTCAGCAAAGGGAAGATTAAGAATTCATGTTTCAATTTTCAGGTTGTCTGATCAGAAGTACTTCAAAGAGTTGCAGAGTTTCAAGTCGTCAGCATATTTCTGTATCATAGATTTGTAAAAGAGAAGGAGTTCATATTCTGCTTTCATTTCATGAGAAAACATTTTGAAAAGGCAATGATTCAAGGCGCCAGCATTAACAAAATTGATACCTTACTCTAGACAAGCAGGGCCAGAGAAAGCAATGGGTGTAGAACTTACTGCATAAAAAGTCTTCCTTTAAGCTGTGTCACAAGCACCACAGATGTTCTGTCTATTCACAAACTACCCAATGAGTTGTATTTGTAGAAGAAACTTTTCAGCATTTCAAAGATATTGATGGATTTGAAATTCCTAATGGACTAGCTAAATAGGAATTTATTTCTGAAGGCATCAGCTGGATGCATAAAGCAGCTTCCCATTCCTCCATCGTATGCCTCAAAACATTATTTTTAAAGTCGACCATCATGGAATAATTTAATTTTTTTGGAGTCACTGCTTTAACCTGTCTCCTCTGCCCCAAACCACAAACCAACTTGACCATTTCTGGGGTACCCAGCTTTACCACTTACTTTCTTGTTATTTTAAGAGCAGGCTGATTCATTAGGGCACACCCGATTTTGGTAAAGTCTTGCCTTTTCAAGTCTAGTCTTCTTTTCTTAGAAAAGATCTACACTAGTAAATTTTTGGAACAAAAATTATGAGATACTAGTCCAGCAGTTTTGGTTTCATGTTCCTTCCACTCACAAGAATGGTGTCCTGTGAAAACAACTCAGGCTTTCATGTTATGTCACACATAGTGGGAAACAAAGCCAAAAGATATTTGAGACTTCTTCCTTATTATTTTCTTTGACATTTCCTAACTTAAGCCAATTCTGAGGTAAACAGGGACAGATGCTCATCATCATAATGGAGGGCACATATTTCTTAATTCCCACCAGTGGAAAGCCCTTCTGACATATGCCAACAGTGACAAAAATACAGAGCATGTCTATAGGAGCAGCTGTATGTAATAGACGTAGAAATAATGTATTCACTAAGGCGTTTTGGAAAAAAAAATCACATAAAAAATTACTGCTATGCGTGCATGTGTGCATTTCTGTCCCAGTGTATGTTCATATGCATGATTCATAGACCTCCCTCTGTTTCCACCCAGACCTCAGATTAAGAGCGCTGGTGGTGTAAATGAGTGGACCGTCTTCTTCAACAAAACCCCAAATCCAGGGTGAGTCCAAGGGTGGGAGACACCCCCTTTCCTGGTAATCTTAGAAAAGGCCTCAGAAGTCCTCAGTAAGATAACATCGGAGCTACAACCTGAAGACTGATTATTAGTTTATTAGGGTGAGAAGAGGACAAAGATAGAAACTGAAAAGGGAGATGCCTTAACCGGGAAGTTCCAGGAGTGCGTGTGGATGACTCTAAGAAGCTCTGGGTTATGTTGGAAATGTTCAGCTATCGAGACAGAGAAAACTACTCAGTCTTGAATTTGAACTCTGATATTTTTCTATGTGACCCTGCATAAGTTTTGTAACCTCCTTTTACCTCCATTTCCTCATTTTTGACATGGGGATGGCAGATGAAAGTCAGCATGTGCTGGGATCTTGTACTTGCCCAAATAGGATTTCTTTCAACCCTCCTTGCCACACCAAGTTCATGGACACCCTATGAAAACGGATACAGCCATCCTCCCCTTCTTTTAGGGTAAATAACAATAGCAATAATAGTATTGGTAATTCTAACAGCTGGAATAGAACGAGCCTAAGCTCTGTGCACGTGTTGTATTAAGTGTGTTGCATGCATCATCACATTTCGCTTCGTAACATCTGAGGTAGAAGCTGTCATTGTGTCCATGATGAGGAAACTGAGGTTTAGATAGATTGAGACACAGCCAGAATTTCTCAGAGAGCAGACATAGAGCCAGGCGTTAAGTCAGGCTCTTTCCTCAACCTACCCTGTTTTAAATTTCCTCCTGTAGCTAGTCTTCTTCAATTATATCCAATGAACTTCATGCCTGGATTCACCCTCTCTTGTCAGCCCCACAGGTGGATGGTGCCTCCTTTGGATGATCTGATCACATTTGACTGGCTTCTTTCCATGAGGCTGCTTCTCAGACCATCCTGTCTGCACACACCTCTGTGTGCAAGTGATACATGTCACCACTTGATCTGGGCAGCAGGTCCCTGTGTCTGTGAGAGGGAATTCAATGCACTACTGAGCTACTGTCAGTACCAAGTAAAATACTTTCTCTTGAAATGTGCTAAAAATGAGTGCCCCTGTTACCTCTGAGTGACATAAAATTGTGGTATGCAACAGCTGTGACTGCCCTGGGTGTCACTTATGTGTTCAGAAAATTTAGCATTCGGGAGGACAGAGAACGAGAGGGGAGGAAAAGGAACAGGCACAGATAAAACAGATTTTCTAAAATGGTGCTCATGGAGTGGACGCTAGGTGCTTCTCTAGGATACACACACACACACACACACACACACACACACACACAAACATGTGCTGGGTTTCTTTGAATTTCCTCTAAGGGATTTTGTCAGGTTATAATCATCTACGGACTTGTCCTGCCCAAGGGAAATGACTCTGGTTGGAGCTAGCTTGATTTAACTGTTTACATTTCTGAATTTCGTTCCTCATATCTTCCTCTGTCAAATGACCTTATCCACCCAGCTCAAGGCTAGAGGAAAAAAAGTATTTTACTTGATATTTTAGTTTCCTTCAGCTGTTATAATAGAATTCCACAGACTGGGTAGCTTATAAACAACAGAAGTCTATTGCCCACAGCTCTGGAGGCTGGGAAACCCAAGATCAATGTACGGGCACAGTCATGCTTTGGTGAGAACCTCTTCCTGATTCATAGCTGCCAACCTCCTCCCCCCCACTGCATCTTCACATGGTGGAAAGGCTAGGAATCTGTCTGGAGCTTCTTTTCTCAGAATACTAATTTCATTCATGAGGGCTCCACCCTCACGACCTAAGCACCTCCCAAAGGTGCTCACCTCCTAATACCATCAATGTGGGAGTTAGGATTTCCACATCTGAATTTGAGGGAGACACAAACATTCAAGCCATGGCAGTTAATTTCTGCCATGGTTGTACATGTAAGTTGATTCTGTGAAGCAATATGGCGAAGAGTAATAAGGAATAGAAGCAGAAGATTAATCTTGGGGCTTGCAACTTCAACGTCCTGACCACCCCACCACTCTCAAGATTTGGGCTAAGGGTGCTGCCATCCGCGGCCCCGTAAACCTCTTGGACTCATTCCTGATTCCAGTTTGAAAACAGTGTCTCGGGCTCTCTGCCACAGTAGATATAATCCTTCCTCCTGCTTCAGATAGTATATTGCAAGGTACCCAGATGGACCTTCTGGGTAGCATCATATGCTCTTTTTAGTGTCCCTCAACCACATTTTGACTATACAATATATTTTGAGCTAGAGTGCATGTCACAGGAAAAGTTATAGATATAAATTAGCAAGTTACTTCTTTGAACCAAACAACGTAAGAGAAACTTTTGTCTGAAATCTCATAGATGACTTCCTTACCATAAAAATTATTCATACACACTCTTGCCTATATTAACCATTGGGTTTCCTAGATGAAAGCCTCTAAATGAGGAATTCAGAACAAAGGAACTGCTACATTTTATGTTCACAACACTGTGGACACGAGAAGGAACACAGTGCTAACAGCTCCTTGCATTATGGTTGCCTTTGAAGTGACAGCTGACCACACTGCAGCTTCATTTCAGTCTGTTCCTACCCTGAGGAAGTTGTTTCAAAAGCCCAGTCACAAGAGCCTGTTACAAGCTGCCATGTTTACAATGAAAATGCGCAGCCACGCCGTCAAGGCTGCTTCCTCTGCCCGAGACCAGGCAGGTTCTCAAAAACACTTCAGGAAATTGTAGTGAGTCCTCACAAATCCCCTGTGAAGTGGAACATTTTTCATCTGCCTCCAACCGGGAGGTAAAACATTTGCTTGACTCGTTTAAGGTTACAGAGAAAGAGAAAGGCAGAGAGAGCCAGAGGAGACGGAAAGAAGAACAGAGAATGATGCTGAATCAATCTCTACTAGCCCAACAGAGTCAAGGAGGTGAGCAAAGGTGGGATGCAGGAGGGCTGGAGGTATTTTTCACAGTGATGATATTGGAATTCAGAGGGCAGGGATGCTGAAAGTATGTCCTGTGTCTTTCCCTGGACTGAAAAGGCATCAGAGAATGGGGTGTGATGAGGAATGGGGTGGGGTGAGGAAGAAAGCAGATCTCCCGTGGCAGGGTATGGGGCTGAATGTTAAGTGATGGAGATAGCAGGGTTCCAAGTAGGAAAAGAGGTAGGGAAAATTTGTTTGGAGTCTGAGTCTTCATTTGTATGGGTGACTGAGTGACTACACGGACAGGTCAGTACCAGTGAAAGGAAAGGTTACTGTTACTCACAGTTCTACTAGAAACAAGAGGCACGGCTCACCACACATGGACACATGAGAAACAGCAGGTTTTGGTTAGGAATCAGAGGCAGGAGTGGGTGTGGGTGGGGGAATACTTAGGCCATGGCCTTTGCTGAGGTTTCTGTGGGAAAGACAAGGCAGGACAGGGTAAATAGTTTGTAATTGGCCAGTCTCAATAATTTTGTCAGGCTTGGGGCTATAGGAATGAATCTCAGCACCTGGCTGACTCAGCTAGTTGAGCATCTGACTTCAGCTCAGATCAGGATCTCACAGTTGGTGCCTTCGAGCCCTGCATTGGGCGCTGTGCTGATAGTGTGGAGCGTGCTTGGGATTCTCTCTCTCTATCCCCTTCTGGATGCCCCTGCCCCCATCTCAAAATAAATAAATCTTAAAAAAAAAAAGAAGATTTATAGGGGTGGGCTCTAGTTGCCTGGTACCTGGCCCTGGGATGATTAAGACAGAGGAATATTGTCCCCTGGGGTGTACAGACCAGATAAAGGAGATAAAGCCTTGGGTTGGTTCATTTGCTTATCAAACAACATGCCCTTGTCTGTCTCTAAGAATTAGCTAGCACTGGGAGGGAGAATTAGCTAGCCCTCTACCCAGCCAGAAAGATGTTTCAAGATGTCAAAACATGATAATATACAGAAAATAACAAAACATGATTAATATACCATTACCTTGGATGTATCAGGGAGGAATTACTTAGCATTTGTGGCAACCATTTCTTCTCTAATATAAGGATGTTAATAAATGTCTTATGTGACACATATGACTATCAGGAGAACAAAATAAGGTAACAGATAATAGATGAAAAACACTTTGGAGAGTGAAAAGGTCATGTTTTGACGTAAGATGTCAGGGTCTTCCAGAGAGTCACCCTCCTCCACTCTGGGCCGTCATCAGGAGGCTCTGCCTAAGATAAAGCAGCCCTTTGATAGCCATCACACACGGCACCTGGGAAAGTGACCACCCCCACCCAAATTAATTCTACCCATCTTAAGATGTGTTAAGGCAATTCACAAGTCCATCAAATGAAGATACATATCAAAATGGAGCAAAATGTGAAGAGAAGAGGAGACATATGTCTAACTCTGCTGTTCTTGCCACATAGCTAGCTGGCATGGCTATGAATCAAGTAAATGTGGGTTTATGATCTGGATCACATTTCTGAACCATGCACCCCAGGTAAATGTTAACTCCTTTCTAAGCCTCCTTCACCAGTACAATCAAGGAATTGTGATGAGGGTTACATGAGACAAAGCATGACAGAATTTAATGAGATGCTTGGCATAGAGGAAGTGCTCCCTGATGATAACAGTAATAATAATAACAATAATTAATAAGTAACTCATTTATTGCTGATTTATTGCTGTCATTAAGGTTTTTCCTCACTTAGTTTGTATATAACTTATGCTTTATCACTGCTAATAATTTCCTCAAATTATATTTCCTGGGTGAAGTTTGTTATTCCCATTTAATAAACGTTGAGTGCTTTCGGATTAAAGATATGTGTTTTAGGATCGGTGGAAACCTGGAAATTACCATTGATTGTGATAAGGGAAAGATTACTCATTATCTCTAGGCATCAGTTCCTAGAGGGTGTGAAGAGTTGTCAGCCATCCCCTAAATGTAGAGGATGTCATCCGTGTTAGGAATCTGCTCAGCTACATTCCAATCTCTAAGAAAAGTAGCCCATTAGAAGTACATTCTCAATATTACATTTGTTTCTTTTTCAGAGATCATTTCTAACTTAATAGCTCACTAGTTGCCCCTCAAGTGATCTGACAGCTCTGACACTCCACAAGTAGTTTCCTTATAGGTGTTCCACAGCCCATCTTTATACCCCTGGGGGGACTCTGAAGACTTAACATTTGAGTATGGAATGGTTTTGTTATTGTCCAATGTACTTGTGAAGTCTACATTATATTTTTCCATCAAACTCAAAAGAGAATGCAGTAATACAGATTCCCTAGAGAGATGAGATCAAAACAATAAGCTCTATAGTCTGTTAAACATGTGAACTATTAACATTTTCATATTATTATTATTATTAGTATTTAGAGAGAAGGATAGAGCATGCATGTGAGAGGCAGGGATGAGGAGAGGGAAAGGGAGAAAAAGAATCTTTTTTATAAATATTTTATTTATTTCTGAGAGAGAGAGCGAGAGACAGCGTGAGCAGGGGAGGTTCAGAGAGAGAGGAAGTCACAGACTCTGAAACAGGCTCCAGACTCTGAGCTGGCAGTCAGAACAGAGCCCAACGCGGGCTCGAACCCACGAACCGCGAGATCATGACCTAAGCGAAAGTCGGACGCTTAACCGACTAAGCCACCCAGGTGCCCCAGAAAAAGAATCTTAAGCAGATTCCACGCCCGATGTAGGGGCATGAACGGTGAGATCACGACCTGAGCTGAAATCAAGAATTGGACACCTAAACTACTGAGCCACGCAGGTGCTTCTGAACTTTTCATTTTATGGTCAAAGTAAACTATAGAATATAATTCCTACTAAAAAATTTAATGTGAGAAAATTAAGCAGGAAAAAGCAGCTCTGAAGAAAAGTTACAATTCATCAAATTACTTAGAATTGGTTTAGGTTATAGAAGTTAAGTTAAATTTTAAAAAAAGGTTAAATTAAAAAAAAAAAACCTTAAAAGTCAGCTGATAAACAAAGTAATGGGAATTACCTAAAAAATAAAACACGTTTTATCTGGAATAAGGTTAGTATACTAATAAATGTCCTCCTTAATAGAAATATGTATAGTTGCATCAGGTAATTTTTTTAGCTGAAATTCAGTGATTCTTTTGGATCACCTGTAGCTTACAGCTCTATCAGTTCCTAATTGATTGATGATTATTACTTCCACAATTGATGATTATTACTCTATTTTCTTTTTTATAATAATTGTCTTATTGAAGTGCAGCATACATTTGGAAAAATCTACATCTACAGTTCAAAGCATCTACAGTTCAAAGCTTTATCACATTGAAACACCTTTGTGTTGTGTGCTGTCGCTGGCCTCTTCATCGAAGGTCATCACTGTCTGGCAATTATCATCATAGATTTGTTTTTCTACTTTATAACTTTATAAAAATAAAAGATACCCTTTTGCAGCTGCCTTTCTCTCCCCTGAACATTACTTTTGTGAGATTCATTCATAGTGTTATAATAGTAGTTTGTTCATTTTCATTGTATAATATTCTATGGTATGAATATCATATTCACTACACTATATAACTGTGCTATACTATACCATAATCACACTAATTTATATAATAAACCACTCTTACATTATACCCAGGAGAAATGTATAAAATGTGCACCAAAGGACAGGTTCCAGTATGCCCATTAGAAGCACCAATCCAGCCTAAATGCTTATCAGCGTATCGTCTTCCAAGCCGGTGGCTTGCACTTTCCCTCTTTTAATAGGTTTCTTTCAAAAATCAGAAGTTTCTAATTTTTTACCTTTTTTAAAAAATTTAAATTTTAGTTAACATAGAGTGAAATATTGGTTTCAGGAGTATAACTGAGTGATTCTTCACTTATATACAACATCCAATGCTCATCATAACAAGTACACTCCTTAATACCCATCACCCATCTAGCACATCTCCTACCAACCTCCCTCTGCTAAACCTCAGTTTCTTCTCTATCATTAAGAGTCTCCTTTTTTTTCATTTTTAATACTTATTTATTTTTGAGAGAGACAGAGACAGAGCATGAGCAGGGAGGACCAGAGAGAGAGGGAAACACAGACTTTGAAACAGGCTCTAGGCTCTGAGCTGTCAGCACAGAGCCCGACACGGGGCTCGAACTCACAAACTGTGAGATCATGACCTGAGCCAAAAATCAGTCACTCAACAAACTGAGCCGCCCATGTGCCTGCCCTATTAAGAGTCTCTTGTGGTTTGCTTTCTTCTCTTCTCTTTTCCACACCCCTTCCCATATGTCCATCTGTTTTGTTTCTTAAATTCCACACATGAGTGAAATCATATGATATTTGTCTTTCTCTGATATATATATATATATATGCCACCTCTTCTTTGTCCATTCATTAGTCAATGGACATTTCGGCTCTCCCCATAGTTTGGCTATTGTTCATAATTCTGCTATAAAAATTGGGGTGTATGTACCCCTTTGAATTTGTATTTTTGTATCCTTTGGGCAAATACCTAATAGTGCAATTGCTGGATCATAAGGTAGTTCTATTTTTAGTTTTTTGAGGAACCTCCCTACTATTCTCCAGAGTGGCCGCCCCAGTTTGTACTTCCACAAACAGTGCAAGAGGGTTCCCCCTTTATCTGCATCCTCACCAACACCTGTTGTTTCTTGTTTCAATTTTAGCCATTCTGACAAATGTGAGGTGATATCTCATCATGGTTTTGATTTGTATTTCCCTGATGATGAGTGATGTTGAGCATCTTTTCATGTATCTGGATGTCTTCTTTGGAACAGTGTCTATTCATGTCTTCTGCCCATTTCTCAACGGGGTTATTTGTTTTTTGAGTTTTGAGTATGATAAGTTCTAGATTTTGAATAGTAACCCTTTATCTAATATTTTGTTTGCAAATATCTTCTCCCATTCAATAGGCTGCCTTTTAGTTTAATTGAAGAAGTTCCTAATTTTAATGTAGCCTGATGTATCAATCTTTTTCTTAAGGATAGTGCTTCTTCTATCTGGCTTAAGAAATCTTTGCCTAGACCAAGGTCATTAATAAATTCTGTTAACCTCTAGAAATTTTATTGTTTTACCTCTCATATTTAGACTTGCCATATCCTTAGATTTTATTATTTTCTATGGTGAAGGGTAAGGTCAAGATTAATTGGATATCTTTTATAGATACACAATTTAATGAGCACCATTTATTAAGACCATTGCTCCTCAGGGTCACCTTATCCTACTGGTTGTAAGTAGTGCTAATCAAGTGAAGTAAAACCTGAGAAGAAGGTTTCCTTTTCCATCACCTGTACATCTTCTTGTTAAGTATCTGGAATCCATGATAAAAGATTTCTCTAAATTTTTGTTATTGTTAAGGCAGACTTTTTTTTTTTAGATGCATTTTAATGATCTTTAAACCAAGACCACCACAAGATTCAACCACGGTCTTGGGTTTTTGCCACAGTCTTGAGAAAGCAGCTTAAATTGGTTTTATGTTTTGCTTTTTTCTTTTTAAATAGTTGTCAGGAAATGAAAGGGATAATGCCGGAGGTCAAACTCCTTTCACCAGATAAGATGTTTTTGCTGAAACCATGAGAGACTCTTGAATGCTGACAAAAACTGAGGACTGATGGATGTGGGGGGGAGGGGGGATGGGCATGGAGGAGGGCACTTTGGGGATGAGCACTGAGTGTTATGTAGAAACTAATTTGACAATAAACTATTTGTTAAAAAAAAAAAAGATGTTTTTGCTGAAAAAACTCTGTACTTCCATAAAGAGAAGGAAAAAAGCAGGCTTCTCACTAAAGTGTAATTAGAAACCTGTAACTGGACGATGTTTGTTTCTTAGGTTATTGAAAAAGATTTAATTTATTTTTATTTTATTTTTTAAAATGTTTATTTATTTATTTATTTAGAGGGAGATGGAGCGAGGAGGAGAGGGACAGAGACTAAGGGAGAGAGAGAATCCCAAGCAGACCCGGCACTGCCAGCACAGAGCCCCACACCAGGCTCCAGCTCACGAACCACGAGGTCATGACCTGAGCTGAAACCAAGAGTCAGATGCTTAGCTGACTGAGACACTCATGTGCCCCTGAAAAGATTTGATTTCTGAAAACAATCTTGATGTTCAAGCTTCACAAAAATTGCACACTTTGCTTAGGTGTCAAGAGACGTAGGCTGACAGAGTGACAGGGCTGAAGGAACACTGGACTTTGAGCCATGCTCCAAGTTTCCCATTGCTCTGTTGTCACTAGATATTTTTTCTTGCTCTTTTTCATTTCCTTCCTTCAGACAATTAAGTGTTCCTGGTCAGTTCTTTTTTTTCCTGCTGTGACTGTGTTTCACTGTGCAACCTATACTGTTGTACATGCCTGTTGCCATGCCACATTCTGGCCCCTGTTTATTACTTTTATTACCTCCTATTTAGGAAGCTTTCCCAAAGGCAAGAAAATAAAAGACTGCTGCACAGAAATAAGCTTTCATCCTCTGTAACTTATTAAACATAATTTTCAAGTTACTATTATTAAAAACTCACTCATAACCACATTAAGCTGAGAAGTTGGAATAGCCTATCATTCCTCATGAACCCCGTTCATTTATTTTTTTCTCAAGTTTTGCTAATGAAAACCCTAGACACTATTGGCTTTTCTTGAAGTACAAAGAGTACTGATTTCTTCCAGTAATTCTAAGGAAATGTGGACTTCCTCTTCCATATCCTCAGCTACTTTTACCTTGTAACCAAAGGCATGTATTTATTTGTCAAGAACATAAAGGTTAAAGATGAATTTCTGATTCTGAGAGTGAAATTAATTTACAACTTGTAATGCCATATTTCATTGAATCTAATGCTCCATCTTTGTAAGATGCAGCATCCTTTTTACTTCCAGTAAGAAAGAAAAAAAAGTTCTTCATTAAACCGTAAGTGAACAGTTGTAAGATATGTCCTAATAAAAATATTAACATGCATATAAATGTCTTGGAATCTATGAAATACAGTAATTATATTAGCTCTCCAATTAAATGCTTTGCTGCATCATATCCAAGAAAGAAAATAGAAGTATGAGCCTGGTGGCCCCCAAATTCTGCTGTTTGTTAGAAAGACAAGGTAGAGAGCACCTAGGTAGCTCAGTCAGACTCTTGATTTCGGCTCAGGTCATGATCCCAGGGTCATGGGATTGAGCCCAGCAATGGGCTTCATGCTGAGCATGGAGACTGCTTGAGATCCTCTCGCTCCCTCTGCCTCCCTCCCCAACTTTCTTTCTCTCTATCAAATAAAAATAAACAAATTAAATTTATAAATAAATTTAAAAAAACTACTGGGGTATTTCTGGGTCTCTTCCCTTGTTTGCTGAATCAGAGTACTGGAGTATGGGTCCAAGGAATGTATATTAAGGGGCACCTGGGTGGCTCAGTCAGTTGAGCATTGGACTTCCGCTCAGATCATGATCTAATGGTTAATGAGCTCCAGCCCAGCTAGAGCTCTGTGCTGTCAGTTCAGAGCCTGGAGCCTTCTTCGGATTCTGTGTCTCCCTCTCTCTCTCTCTCTCTCTCTGCTCTCCCATTCATGCTCTATCTCTGTCTCAAAAATAAATAAACATTTAAAAAAAAAAGTCAGTCAACGAGTTAAAGAACACTCCTCACTTGGCACTGACAGTCATTTATATTCAGGGACCACTGGAGCAGAGGAAGCCTATTTCTGATCATTGGCTTTTTATCTCTATTGCTCTGCTGTTGTTGCCAAATCTCTAGAAAAAACAAAATCTCTAGAATAAACAAAAGGTGGTGTCAGTGGAAAACCTGCCATTGCTGGATTTTTTCTCTTCTGTAAAAAGAAAACGGATTGAAGAATTAATGCTGTTCATATATATATATATATATATATATTTTAAAAGGGAATGTTAATTAGTACTGAATTGATTTTTGGTAAAAAGTTAAGAATGAGTATTAAGCAGATAGTTTGATATATTAGAAAGGAATACTTTGATCACAAGAACCATATGATAGATTTGATAACTAAATTAACATATTTAAAATTTCTTTTATGTTTATATATTTTTGAGAGAGACAGAGGCAGAGCATGAATATGAGCAGGGGAGGGGCAGAGAGAGAGAGGGATACAGAACCTGAAGCAGGCTCCAGGCTCTGAGCTGTCAGCACAGAGCCTGATGTGGGGCTTGAACTCATGGACCGTGAGATCATGACCTGAGCAGAACCTGGACACTTAACCAACTGAGCCACCTAGGCAACCCTAACTGATTTTTCTTCTTTCTATTTTTTAAGAACTGTTACTAAGTTATCAGAGAATGATATAAACATAGTGTACTGTAAGTACAGCAAGCCATTTAATAAGTCTCCTATGATATCCTTGAGGACTTGATGACGACATATGTACTGGAT